GCCATCATTATCATCCTAACACGCTGAAGTTGTCCAAGTTTCCCCAGCAAATTGTGCCACAGGGGTTGATATTAATGAAAAGAATTACTCCGGCAAGCACAGTGACATACCTGGCTTGGACCCAGCCTCTGGCAGGGAGCGAGCGGGGACTGTGACAAGGTAAAACAGCAGGGAGGGCGGCAGGTCTCTCTGGGAGTCCCATTCCAGCCTCCCTGGCAGCCCTACCAGAAGGTGCCAGCTCCCTTGGCCCCAGCAGCAGCTGCCCACTCTCCACTGTCCCCACAGCCACTGGCCAAGGTTGGAGCCAGGCTGGAGCTGTCCCAGGAGGGACTCATGAGCTCCCCCAGTTCTCAAAGTCCCTTCCCAGGCGAGTCCCTCTGCCACAGCCCCGGGCGGCTATGGGGCCATGAACTCGCGGCTGAGGTAAAGGAACGTTCCTGGAAGGGTAAGCGCGATGCCCATGTAGCTGAGGGCGCTAAGATGGCTGCGACACAGGATCCGGGGGAAGATGAGGCTGCCCACGACGGAGGGGAGCTCCTGCCAGCAGCCTCACCAGCGCTGCCACAGCCACTAAGCCGGCCAGGCCTCCTGAGGACCTGGGGACCTCCTTGGACCCCTCGGGGGTCCAGCCATGGCCATTTCCAGTCACTGCTGCTGTTTCAGCTGAGGCCCCCTGCCTTCGTGGTGCCACCGAGGACAGCGGGCATCCGCACAAGTGGGGCAGGGGCAGGAGGCAGGCTGTGGGCCTGGCCAGACCTGGTGACGGGACCTTGGGCCAGTCCCACGTGAGGGCACCGATGCCCTTCCGGGCCCGGCCCGCAGAAGTCTGGAAGCTGAGCTGACCGTGTTCCCCAGAACCCACGGAGCCGAGGCCATGGCCGCTGGGGAGCCAGGGACTCTGGTGTCCAAGCCCGGCCTAGGAAGCTCCGCAACCTCTCCCGGTCCTCCCCTCCCGGTGTCCGTGCTCTGCTCTTCGATGGACCCCATTTTCCTCCCCTCCTCTTCCATCCCCAGGCCGTGAGAGTGGATTCCTTGATTCCCAGAGCTCCAGGCCTGGCCCAGGTCAGTGCTCCGCACCTGGTGGTACCCGAGGGTCCCAGCTGGCCGCCTCCCCCCGGCTTGGCTTCCCCAGGGCTCGGCTCTGGCTCCAGGTGCCTCCGGCTGAGGCTCTGAACTGGGAATCTTGAAGCTTAATTAACTTGCCCACAGCCCACAGTTAACAAATGAAAAAAATCAAATTTCAAACCCAGGACCAACTATTGCCAAATTCAGTGTGCTTTCTTTCAGCCATTTGACCCCTCTGTTATTGCTATAGAATTGCCACTATTGATAAAGGGAGAAGAAGCACAGGTTTTTTTAAAGTACATGATTATCTAACAAAACATCAGCCTGAAGGCCCTAGTTTTTGTTCTTCCTTTTTCCCTAACATTTTAAGATAAATGAAGTTACAAGTACAGATAAGTTATCATTTCCAATAACATTTTAAGAACGATAAGTAGTGAACAAGTTCCACTCACAGAATTTTTAAGTGAATAAAGTTGCAGCAATTAAAATAAGGTGGTATTGATGAAATAATAGATCAAAGAATAAATACATCAAAGTATATAAATATAAAGAATTAAATACTAGTATCTAATTTCCAGTGGAGACTAGAAGGCTGGGACAACTGACTATCCTTTAGGAGAAAGAGAAACAGTAGATTGATGCTTTATATTCTACACACATTAAATATATCCAAATTGATTAAAAAGATAAATTTTAAAAATCACAAGAATACTAGAAAAAATATAAATAATTCTAGAATTATAAAAGAAATTTTAAGATCTGTAACCAAAACTAAAACATAAAGGAAGAGATTGATAAACTAAAACATTTTTTTAAATTTCTCTGTGTTAAAACAAAATCCATACGCCAGGTATAGTAGCCACATCTGTAGTCTCAGCTACTTGGGAGGCTGAGGCAGGAGGATCACTTAAGCAGCAGGATTTGAAAACCACCCTCAGCAAGGTAACAAGACCTTGTCTCACAAAAAGAAAACAAAATCTACAAATAAACTTAAATAACATACATGTAAACTTGGGGGAAAAATATTAGCATCATGTATGAAAAACAAAGAATTCAATTTTCAAAATATGAAGAGCATTTATCCATAAAGAAAATACAATCATACATAAATTCGAAGTTGGTAACAGTCATAAACAAGCAATCTATAAAATTAGAGACATGAATGGTCAATAAATTTTTTTTGTCAATAAATTTGCAAAAATATCTTCAAGAGAAATTTTCCATTTTCCAAATGGACAGGCAATTGGGCCAGTATCCTCCTCTTTTGTTAGAAATTACATAATAGTATTTATTTCTTTATATTTATGTATTTTGTATTTAGTCCTTTGACCTGCTAGAGATAGCATGATCACACAAGTATAAATTAACATATATACAGAGAGAGAGAGAGAGAGAGAGAGAGAGAGAGACAGAGACAGATGTATACAGAATCTGCCAAAAAATATACACACTTCAGGAAAAGAAAAACAGTATGATGTTATTTCAACAGAAGATGTTACCCTCCCATGGGGGACCCTAGAGGATGTCTCATATCACAGAAAACCCGCTACACTGCCGGCCCTTAGAGAAGAAATTGAAAATGCATGTGCAGCAATCTCAGTGAGCAAGGTCACCCAAGGAGCAGTTTGCTGTACTAATAAATATCTGGAATCTCATGGCCACTACTTTGAGCACCTTTGGTCATTGTCGTGGCCAAACGTCACTTGTATTAACCTCATGATGTCTCGATAAATTTAGTATTAAAATATTAACACAAAATACCAAATAGTTTCTCTAGTGTGAGAAACCGAAAGTGTGAATAAGGACTAAAAGGTGTAATAGATAATGTGAAATAGGAAGAAAAGGGGCAAAGGGGAAGGGGAAGTGGGAGGGGTAGGAGAAAGGAAAGAAAG